TGACCCTAGCACCATGCCGTAGTGGACGCTGGCTGGACGCCCAGGAGCGCCCCTGACTCACATCCCGTGAGGCGTCCAGAGCTGCCCCATCCCTCCTCTCCTTTCATCCCCTGGCCATCCCCTGTGGCACAGGCATCCCATCATTCACTATAAACCTGGAATCACCAGGTGCTGCCAGAGAGCTGGGCCAGGCATCAAGGGGTTTCAACTCTGTACGACCTGGGCACATCCCAGCCCCTCTCTGGGCCTCATCTTCCTCACCTATAAAATGAGGGTCATCATCGTCACTGCCCTGCGCTCCTAAAAATCAAATAAGGCAATAAATGGGGGATTGCTTTGATGAGATATGAGCATCCCCCTGACGTCAGGGACTAGTGCTGTGATTAGCAAAGGTTCGGTGAGTCTGTGCACAGCTCTGCTACTTCTCCAGGACAAGCCTGTGAGACCCGTCTTGGGGTGGGATCTCCAGCATGAATACTTGGGTGATCACCATGCACAGCCCTGCAGCCTATTCCGTGTTTCAACTCCAACACGCAGCACAGAATGGGCTTCCTCTCAGGCAGCAGCACGCAGCTCACCCTGGATCCCTGCCCTGGCTGTCAGCTGGGCAGCCAGCCAAAGAAACATCTTTCAAATGTCTTCCTGGGGATCTGAATTAACATGATGGGGCTCGGCGTGGTGGCTCCCGCCTGTAATCCTACCACTTTGGGAGACTGAGTAGGGAGGATAGATTGAGTGCAGGAGTGAGAGACTATAGTGAGCTATGATGACAGCACTACACCCCAGCCTGGGTGACAGAGTGAGACCTGAAAAAAAAATAAAAAATAGTGACTCATGGACCTGCTAGCTTTGGGAGAAAGAAGAGGAACGAAAGGGTGGACTTTTTTCTGCCAGTGACATCGGTACTTGAGACTTGGTCCATCCCATGTAACCTCCTAAGGAAGTCACAGAATTTGCAGAGAAAACAGCAGACAGTTGGCCAAGTGACTGGGCGCCAAGGAGGGACCTGGGGAGCCTTAGAGTGTCAGAGTTGGTGCACTCCTTAGAGTCATCCCTCCTGTACCCCTTCTTTGTGTCTGGGTGAGCTGAGGTCTAGAATCTAGCCATAGAGTTAAGGCAGAAAGGCCCCAGCTCTCCTGACTCCCCAGCCAGTGCAGTTTCTGCTGCCCTCCACTCCAGTTAGCAGCTCCCTGGGGGTGGGGAAGCAGCCACCCCAGGGGAAGGAAGGGCAGGAGGGCACACAGGAGGAGTGGTCTCTCTTAGGCTCTCCTCTTACCCTGGTTCTTGGAGGCTCTTGCAGGAGCTACACATAGGCAGAAGGTCAGAGGGGAAGTCCCAAAAAAGGCCAATCCAATTCCGTACCCCCAGGCTTCCCTTTGACTAGGGGAGACCTTCAGAGTGGGGACACCTGTCGGGAGGACAGACCCTGATACCATCATCTCATCTTGGGAATGTCCCAAGGCCTCCTGGCTGGCCAGTGGTGTAGCCTGGACCACCAGAGGTCACTCAGCTCCCTCACAAGGCCCTCTCTTCCCACCAGCTTCTATATGTCCAAGAGCTCAGAGTCCGGAATGCACACAGGCGGAGGCCACCTCACAGCACCAACGACATTGTGCTGGCTCTGTGAGCCCAGCTCTCAGCTGGGCAGCAGTGAGCACGTGGCCAGTATAGACTTATGGGCCTGGGCCCTGGAACTGGGGGGCACAGAGCAAGAAAGGCCCCTGCTGCAGCTCCCAAGGTCACTCGATGTCCAAATGCCCTGGAAAGCCCATAAAGTGTGCAGGTTCTCACCCTCACCCTGCCCCAAGCCCACTGACTGAGACCCCCAGAGGTACTGACTCAGTGGGCTTGGGGCAGGGTGAGGGTGAGAACCTGGCCACTTCTCTTACCCTTGGCAAGAAGCAAAGCTGGGCACTGCCCAGGGGAGGGGAGCATCCTGCCAGCCCCTCCCACCTCTGGCAGAAGAGATGTGTGGAATTTTCCGGCTGCCTAGAGGCTGTGGCGGATTTGCGTGTCCCTGGTTGATGAGCAGCTGCTAATTGGCACTGCTGTTCTATTTCTGCTCAAGACCTAAACGAGGTCACCCTGCAGGTGCTGCCTGAGATGATGAGTTCAGGGGCCCAGGGTCCAACTGGCTGCCTTCAACCCTGGGGAAGGCGAACATCCTGGAATCAGGGCAGCTGAAGGTGACCCACCGCATGGAAAAAAAGCACATGGGACTTGAAGTGCTAACTTGGTAAAGTTCATAAACCAGGAGGAACTAGTCCCCTAGGACAGCCAGGCACCGTCTTGGTGTGTCCTGCTCTGTGGGGGAGGGAGGGTCCCTGGAACTCACAGAGGTCACTCCTTAGAGCCCAGAGCTTGGGCCTACCAGGCTGGGAAGGAGGCATGTAGACCCCTTATTGACAGTGGGAACCTCTGAGGGTCTGTGCCTGCTGCCAGTCCAGAGGTGTGCCCTGAGACTTTATCCTCACTGTGCACAATACCTGCCTCAGAGAGTAACTATAGCAGCACTGAGTGAGTGCCGAGTGTATCCCAGATGCTGCGCTCCTCAGAGAGTGACCACGGCAGCACTAAGTGAGCGCCAAGTGTATCCCAGATGCCACACTCTGTGCTTTGCCTGGGTCTCTCACTCTTGTTTCATGAACTGGCATTTAGCGAGCTCTTGTGCTGTTCCTGGGGCCCCCATCCAGGTGCTGTTGAGCCCTCAGAGTGCCCCAGGAGATGGGCGTTAGTATCCACATTTGCAGAGGAAGAAACCAAAGCCTAGAGAAACCAAGCAATTTGTGTAAGGCGGTGGTTCTTGAGGGGAACATTCGGCAATGTTTGGGGACATTTTTGGCCGTCACAAGTGGATAGAGGGCAGAGGTGCTGCTAAATACCCTGCATAGCACAGCCCTGGCCACAAAGAGAGAGGCAGCCCAGACGTCCACGTGGCGCCTGAGAAGCTCTGGGCCGGGGGCTCACAGCCCAGCAGAGCCCACACTCAAATCCTGAGCTCTCAGCCACTTTGCTCCACAGTCACCACTCTCATTTTACGTTGGAGAAAACAGAGGCTCAGACAGGCAAGGGCAGTGTCGCAGCCAGGGCAACAGAATGGGGTCCCACCAGGCCACCCCCTCTCTGCGCCCTCCCTGGGGCTCTGGCTTTCCTTCCAGCTCTCTAGCTGGGCTGTCTCAGTTTCCTCTGCCACCGCCCTGTCCCTGAATGTTGGTGGGTGACCAGATAACTAGTTACCCCCCAGGGATGCCTCCAAGAGTGAAAGGGAATGCTGTCGTGACAAAGCTAGCATGGCAGGTGTACACCAGGACTGTCCCCCAGTGTCCTGGTCCCTCCCCTCTTGCTCTGAGTAGACCCACTCCTTGTCTGTTTACCAAGGAGTCCGGGGCATGACTCCCAGGCTAACCCTAACCCTAGACCCACCCCACAGCACCTTGGAATGCTCCTTCCACGTGCTCCCACCCAATGACAGGTACCTACCTGTCCACAAAGACACAGGCGGGGTGCGGAGGACTCATCATAGACCCTTCCCTGTGCCCCATGGCATCCTGTCTGTCAACCACTCAACCATTTCTGGCCTTTGGCCACCTGTTTCCATCTCTGCTGTCATGACCCGTCAGGGACACTGGAATCTCCTGCATGGGCACTCACCAAAGAAATTGCTTTTTTATTGTGATAAAATATGCATAACATAAAATTTACCATTTTGATCATTTTAAAGCATACAGTCAGCGGCATTTGGCACTTTCACAGTGTTCTGCAACAACTACTCCTATGTGATTCCAGAACATTCTTATCCCAGAAGGAGACCCAGTCCCGTTCCCTATCTCCCCCATACTCCAACAGCCACCAATGAGTACACCTTCTATCTCCATGGATTTGCCACTTCTGGACATTTCACATCAAGTCACACAACACGTAGCATTTCGTGCCAGCCTCTTTTGTGCCAGTACTGTATTCTTTTCACGGTGCACTTGTGTGCTGTGGTTTGGGTGTGGCGCACTCAGCCCATTCACCGATGGGCACAGGGGGTGCTTCCGCCCTTCCGCTATTGCAGCCAGTGCCGCAGTGAACATGTATGTCCAAGCGGCTGTCTGAGTCCCTGCTTTAACCACGTATGCTGATTCCACGCACGGCTTCTGGAGGAAACCTCAGATTCTGTCCCACAAGGGCTGCACAGTTTTATATCCCTCCAGGAACACGGGAGAGTTCCAGTTTCTCTATATTCTTATCAACTGTTTTATTGTTGTCCATTTTTTATTATAACATCCTCGTGGATGACAATTGGTACCTCCCTGTGGTTTGGATTTATATTTCTCTGATGACTAACGACACTGAACATCTTCTCATGTGCATTTTGGTCCTATGTACCACTGTCCATCACTGGGGAAATGTCAGTATCGGCAAAATTGGTTTGATAATCACTGTGCATTTGCTTCTTCTTCTTCTTTTTTTTTTTTAGACAGGGTAATCCCACAATGTTGTCCTGAGAAATGTTTTCTATTTTGGATTGAAATAGGTTGTCAATATTTCAAAGTCACACAGTTTCACTCGAAAATGTGTGTTTCTGGCTACTCTTGAAAGTGCTGACAATCTGGCAACGGATGGCTGGGGCTCAGAGGCTTTGTCTCCTTTTCACCGCCTGGTCTGTCCCAGACCCCACCATGCCCTGCTGTCTTTCCGAGGCAATGTTTCTATACACAACTCCTGATTTGAACTCGATTTTATTCACATTAACATTGCTTCCTTGGCTCTCCTGTGCGTGTTTTCTTTCACTCACTTGTTCACTTCTCAGTAAATATTTATCGAATGCTTACAATTTGCCAGGATCCTTTTTTTTTTTTTAAGACAGAGTCTCACTTTGTTATCCTCGATTAAGTGCCAAGGTGTCACAGCTCACAGCAGCCTCAAACTCTTGGGCGCAGGTGATCCTCTTGCCTCAGCCTCCCAAGTAGCTGGGGCTACAGGCACCTGCCACTGTACCCAGCCAATTTGCCAGGTTCTATGTGGGCACTAGGAATACAAAAATGAAAAAGGCAAGGCCCCTGGCCCTACCAACCAGCCAGCTTGTGCCCTCTCAGGGCTCTCCATGGCCTCACCTGCTATGTGTGGCTCAAACCACCCATAGCTGCACCTGCTGCTGTTGTTTCTGCCCTAGGATTTGAGTTGCTTCCACTGCATTTTTCTGCAAGGGAAATGCTTGCAAATGCAGAAACCAAAAGTGCAATGGACTCAGTACCGGAGCGGGTGGGGAGCGCAGCAGTGGCCAATCCCGGACCTAATTCCCAAGGCTCCTTGGAAGGCCCCTGAAGGAAGGAGAATGGTCACACTGGATTGACCAGCCCCAAACAACCTGCCTGCCAGCCAGCCTCGGGCTCAGGCTCCACTTGTAGAGTGTGCCTGGGGAGGGGAGGGGGGAACTCAGGCCAAGACAGTATGCTGGGGAAAGCAAAACAGGCAGACCAGTGCACAGAGGGATGGAGACACCCTCAGAAGTCGGGGAACAGCAGAGAAGAAAGTAATCAGGAGGATAGGGCAGGCCGACAGCCATGCCTTGATGTGGAGCCTGACCCACAGCAGAAGCTTACCTGGTAGGACTTTAATTATTGCCCCAGAACTTCCTGCTCTCCCAGGTCCCAGATGGGCCCTGCTCTCCCTCCAGACCTTCACTCATGTCCTCCTCCAGGCAGTCTTCCTCACCTTCGGGGCCAGACCAGTGTGCTCCCGTGTGCTGACCCTCCTGGTGTTTCCAGGGCCCTTCACTCAGTGCTCCTTTCTGGGATTATTCAGTTATCTATCTGCACAAGGAATTTCAGGCTGGAACATCCCTTGTCCAGCTCTGCTAGCTCAGCTGAACCCTCTGCACGGGTCACAGTATAGGATGCACAGTAGGGCTGAGTAATGCAACTGGAAGGAGGGACTTCTTCCTGTCCTTCCTCAGAGCTTGTGGCCCCTCTGGCCTCAGTTTCCCCATCTATAAAGAAGGAGGAGCCAGCAGAGTGGGGTGCCCTGCTCTCAGGGCAGAGCTGCTGCAGGGGTGCGGTCTCCAGTTTGTCCTTGATGCTCCTTGGCGTTCCTCCCACCCCTCCCACCCACACGGTGTGGGTCACTGCCCCACAACATTTTGAGTGTGGTTTCTCGTGGTACCGCGGTATCTTGTCTTTTGTTTTCTTGAAAGCTGATTTTGATAATTCTCTAAGATCGCCTTGGGATTCACGTGGCTTCCACTGGTTTGTCTCTTTCTTTCTATCTCCTTCCACATCTCCCCTTTTCCCTCCCTCCCTCCTTCTTTCTTTCTTTCTTTCTTTTTTTTTTTTGAGACAGAGCCTCAAGTTGTCACCCTCACAGCAACCTCCAACTCCTAGGCTTAAGTGATTCCCTTGCCTCGGCCTCCCAAGTAGCTGGGACTACAGGCGCCCATCACAGGCGCCTGGCAATGTTTTGGTTGTAGTTGTCGTTGTTTGGTGGGCCCGGGCTGGGTACGAACACGCCAGCTCTGGTGTAAGCGGCTCTTAGCCGCTTGATCTACAGGTGCCGAGCCTCCCCCTCCTTCTTTCCCTCCCTCCTTCCTTCCCTCCCTCCCTCCTTCCTTCCCTCCTTCCTTCCCTCCCTCCCTCCTTCTTTCCCTCCCTCCTTCCTTCCCTCCCTCCCTCCTTC